AGGGACAGTAGCAGAGGTCTGGAGCTCCTTGGCTGCCAGATGCTCTCATACTCACTGGCTGTGCCCAGCTGGGAGCCCTGTCGTGGTGTCCCTGCCATGCCAGGCAGGGGTTGTCAGCAGTGTGAGACTCCAGCAAGCCTGATTGCCTGAGACTTGTCCACCCAGAAACCCCTGAGAACAGGGTTTGGGCTATAGGTGTCCTCATGTGGGGAGCTGAACTGAGGCAGATGTGAGTCAATTTTGGTCTAGGAGCAGGAGATGAGGTTTTGGAGCAGTTTGGAGAGCAAGTGAGAGGAGGGTTACAAATGTGAGGGAAGAATCATGATTTTGTAGTAATTTGCATTTAGATACTCTGACACATCTAAATAACCCCAAACCTTCTGCAGACGTAATGAATTCAATCTCCAACATCCTTTGAGAGGGACAGAAACAGCACTATTTACATGGTTAAAGGAGCCAAGGACTTTTCTCTCAGTATTGCATTTTAAACCTCTGGGACTGCCCTTCTCTGGTTTTCATGGCTATGGAGTCTCACGGTGAGGTGAAACACAGCAGCAGTGAATAGCTAGAGTGCTTTTCTGACCTCAGTTAGCTCGGATCCTGCTGCCCTGGCACATTACACTACACACCATGGGCTGCAGCGACTCCTGGCAAAGCACGTGGCAGGCAGACCCATGGCCGAGGGGAGCCTGTGTGTGCCAGGACAGTGAGGCCGGGAGCACATGGGGAAAGAAGTGAGGAGTTGAGCCCTGTCTCAGCTCGTGCCAGTGGTAGCTGCAGGCAGGGCTATTTCCCTTGTGGGGAGCCCTGCCACAAAGCAGCCTGGCTCCATCCCCAGGGGGAAAGTGGTCAAGTGATTTAATATTCAGCACTCTCAAACACAGCAATGAATTTGATAGCCAAAATGATCTGCTAACCCAGCCAGCTGAGAGGGTATTTGAAGGACGATCCAAGCCTGTAGCCAGGCAGTGTGGTATTTTCTTGTCATCAGCCTCCTGCCTATTCCTTTCCACTCCAGGGCAGTTAATCATAAATGAGATATTTGTTCAATACTGTTTTCATGCATGCTCTGCCCTGTCTCGATTTCCAAGAGATTGTGAAGTCTATGAGTTACATCCCACCCTAATTTCAGCAGCCTTTGCAAGGAGAGCCAGCTCTTCCAGGGAGACCTGGATTGAACCACGTGTTTTTGGATGCTGAAGACTTGGGCAAGCCAATAGCTTTCTGAAGGGGAGCCAAGCGTCCCAAAGTCCATCTTCTCTCACTTATAAATGTGTATTGAATCTGGAGTGCTTAGGGCAGCACGGGTCTGGTATTAGCTGAGCCATCCAATGCACCCTGCTGCCAGGCCTGCTCAGCTGAGGTGTTGCAAGTCAAGTTCTGGGGAGAAATGTCTGGGTTTCAGTTACAGGCTCATATAGAATAGTGTAATTCCCTTTGGGCCTGACCCAGAGTTAGTCCGAGTCCCTGGGAGTGCATGCATTATCTTTGGAGCAGCCCTCTGCTTGCTGATGGTTTGGCTTCTGCTGGGCTCACTTGCTTTCTGCAAAGCTCTTCCAGGGGCTCTGAGCATGCGTTCTCAAGCAACTGGTTAGCAACATGTCAGCTGTATACAAGGGGAAATTTCTCTGACGCAGCAGTGGAGAGGAGAACGCACACTGTATCTTGCAGATTTACTCCTCGTAAAACACCTCTAGCTCTTCATAGATATCCGCAGATAATCTGCTGCCAAGTGAACCAGGAGATATTTATAGTGCAGCTTCAGCAATGACATAATGGCATGTTAGCAAACAAATGAACTTTGAAATATAAGGAGAGCAAAAATATGGTCTAGAGTACATTTATTTTGTAGTCAATAAAAAAAAAAAGTTAAATAATAATAGTGAATGTTTGCAGGGTGGGTCAGGATAAAAGCAAAGAAAGCAAAGCATTTTCATAGTGCTGTAAGACTGTTTCATGTGTGCTGAGTTTGAATCACAAAGACAAATAAATGATAAAAACTTTGCTTCCCACTGAGATAAAGTGTTGTGGTGCTGAGCACTGTACAGATGCCTGCAGAAAGCCAGGATAAATGTTGTTTCAAAAGGGATGGAAACCACTCTGAGTTCAAGCATTAAAAAAAATCTATATTCAATTCACAAATTTGTGTAAAATTGCTTAATTTTAGCTGCAGGTGTGACTTTGCCTTCATTTCTGTCTTTTTTTTTTGTCCCC